TTTTCAATACTCTACCCACCACAGCAGTATCTCATTGCATCCAATCTAATGTATTAAAGCTGCAGTAGGTCATCTTTATGAAAAATGTCTTTGTCATATTTGCTGACAGTGAGCCACCATGAGTGGGGAAAAACACTGATCACTCTGCCATGATGTGTACTCTGTCCTGACAGCCTCCAGCAAACATTCACTCATGCTTCCATGGGAACACTGCTGTACACACACACTCAGGCGCAGACACTATTTACATGTGTGAGTAATTGAACACTCCCAGTGTGATAGAGGTAGACGATGCCTGTATGATCTGACACATTTAATCTGGGACAACTAGCCTCCATCTCTTCTGGGAAGTCACACTATCCTCTCATGAAGCTTTCTCTGCCCTGTGATTGGCCTGTGGCTGCGAGAGATAAGACAAAGACGTTAGCTCGAGAGCCACAAAGACGACAATCATCCACGTCTGACACTGAGACACAAGCATGACTAAACGCCTGTATTATCCTGATTATATTCTTTCTATTTCTCAGCGAGTGCTTTATTGATTTCTGTCGCTTTACATTTGCATACACGGCAGCGAGTCAGACTAAATGTCACACAACTGAGATGAACGACAGAGATCTGACTGAAGAGAGGATGAGGAGGGGACGATGCTGTCATTTGCATAAAAACTCTTTGTCATCATAATGGACAAATTCATTCTGGAATCACAGACTTACTTTTTCCAGTAATAGCAGGATTTCTGATGTCCATTAAGGATAAATGCCCATAAATCAAATTCGAAATAATTTATGAAAGAGTGCTTCTTATAACTTTAGATCTTACCTGATAATCACATTTGCCGTATCAAAAGTAACCCAGTACATTTGAGTCTGTACATTTGTGCAAACAGAAACTGCGTCACTACTGCAACATCTCTTTTTCTGGCTCAAGACACCTGCAGTTGTTCAACATCCAAGTTGTGAAACAGCTTAGTCAGGGTCACCACGAAGTTCCACCGGGCACAGCTTTATAACACCGCGACTGTGATCTGCGTGCCTTCAAATACCAACTAAGAGCGTTTAATAGGCGGAGTGTCTTGAGAGCGTGTTGCCTGCTCCATGGAGTTTATGTGTGTATTTTGTCCTTAAAAAGACACAAACTGTGTGTTGCTCCGTTTAAACTCTCCTCTGACTGATTGAGTTCGGGCCTGGTGCCACAATATTGATGTAGCGTGAAATTCAATCTCTCTCTCTCTCTATGCCGTTTCTCTGTTTGACTTCCTGTCAGTGCGATCTGCTCTGTGCTGCTTGACGCGAGTATGTCTGTGTATTCTACACAGACTAGAGTGGAGTGTCGTTTTGAGACACGGCGCGCTGCTTCTGGTGGATTTAGAGCTTTGCCTAGAACGGGCGCAATCAGTTCAGGCGATGGAACTGTGTCCTGTGGACTTTGGGGGTTAGGATTAGCACTATTAAGGCAATGTACCACATTTTGTCCACAGGACAGGCACCCTGTAGGGCATTTTATCATGTTTCATCTACATATAGAGGCATCTATATGTATATCTATACGACCCCTATAAGTCCACTAATTTACAAATATCTTTATTTTTGACATCATAATTTGTGTACACTTACTTTTCCTTATCCAGATCCAGTGTCCAAAGATAGAGGGTGTCACTGTACATACTACAGTGTACAGATTCTGTACTTCTGTATTACAGAATGAGGAAAATTGTAATGTGTGATACTGGGCTACAGAAATAAAACTGACTTGACCTTTTATGGTGCAGATTTACCTAAATGTAAGCAACGTTGGCTAATAATGGGGCTTGGGAAACCATAGCAAAATCTCAAAATATGAACCCATAGGAAAAATAAAGATGTATCAACTCCAAAGCTGTCTGTTGTATCTTCTTTATTGGCCTAAGAATGAGGCTTCAGCAATAGGTGGCGTTGGCGCAGCACCTGTCATCGTGTTGTTTACATCTCGTCCTCAATACGAGACATTAAGAGTCCTTCGGTTTAAGTGTGTCATTGATCCATTAAGTATCTCACTAATGCTTGCTAAATATCAAGTATAACAGACCTCAGGCAGGCCTCAGACGAATCCTCAGCGGGTTTTGCTGTTGTGTTTTTTCGTGCAGAGTCGCCTGGTAATAATTTATGCAGTTTGTTTAATAAGTTAATATATATTCTGGGGACGTTCACATTTCCAATATCATCAAGACAGTTTAATCACACATGCCTGGCTCGGAAGATTATGCGATGAAAGTAGCATCTTCATTTCATTATTATGTTTGGAGAATATATTCAGATATGTAGAAAATGGAAGCCCAAAAACCCTCTGAGCGAGGTTCATTGGTTTGCAGTAATACGCTTCAGTCTAACTTTCTTTGGGAATATGGGAATATGCTGTTAAGCATCCACTGACAAACATCCTTGAGATTGTCTTAATTTCTGATCTTGGGAACTCATACCATCTGATTGCACTTTGGCAAAGACTGTGAGGAACTGGTGGCAGGGTCCCCTTGTAGGTCAAAGTCCAATGTGTTGATAAAAAGTGTCATTGTTGGTCGGTGCCCGGTTAGCTCAGTCGGTAGAGCTGGCGACCCGTGTATGGAGTTACTGCATCGGCCCGGGTTTTGAATCCGACCTGTGGCCCTTTGCTGCGTGTCATCTCTTCTCTCTGCCCCCCTTTCCTGTCTATCTTTGGCTGTCCCTATCAATAAAGGCAATAAAAGCCAAATATATATATATATATATATATAGTAGTTTTTATAGTTTGTCCTTGCTCTTCTTGTGTCTTTGAGTCTGAAAACATTTTTTTAATCTTGATTTGCTCAGCTTGTAAAATACATTACTGACAGTATAATGGAAATTACATTCATGGGTTACATATTATCTACAGTATGGACAGTTTTGGAATAAATAAATCTTCCCTCAAAATCCCACTGCTGTAAGTGATAGAATATCCCACCTATCCCAACCCAGACCCAACAAAAACAGAAAATAAAGTAACATAATAGAGCAAAGTTATTTTTAATGATGCTACACAAAAATCATTATCATTGATAATCCAAATGAGTCCAAATGTCTCATTATTATTACAGGAGGAGGACGAGAGATTTCTGCATCATCAGAAGTATTGCAGCATCTGCATTTTCTTTATTTTCATCATTTGTATTTACTCACACTAATTTGATCTTGTCCTGCCATAAATCTCTTTATGGCAGAACAATAACATGCACAATTCCTCAAACCTTTTACCTCATATTAACTTTGCAGTAGCATGTGTCTGCGTCCAAATGTCTCCTTATTCTCTTTTGGCATTGTCATTCAGCCTTATAAAGACAGATAACAGTTTCCCCTCTCCTTCCCGCTCTGGGCTGTTCCTACCTGAATGTTCTCTGCAGCTCCAAGCTGAAAATGCGCACCTGATGACGCAGCAGTCTGCCGCTGTCTGCTGCTGCGTCATTTGCGCACCAGACAACAACCAAGATGTTCTCCCATCATCCTCTCTCATGTAGCACACCTCCATCCTTTATTTTTTTTATTTTATTGATCTATTTTGTCCTATAAGTGCGACCCTGGTGCGCAGAGGCGCACGCAGCGACTCTTTTCCAGGTCACAGAGTTGTTACATAATTCATCACCTCTCTGAAGCTTCTGAACATCCAATACTCCCAGCCACCCTCGTGCCTGAAACACAATAACTCAGATTAAAAGATTACAAATGCAGCAGAACCTAAGAGCATGATAACCGGGTCATGCGGTGTTTTTGCTGCAGCTGCGGCGGCGGTGCGCCACACCGACCCGTCCCGTCTCCGCAGCTGCCTGGCATCAAATTTTGCAGACGCAGGAGAGGAGGAGGAGGAGGAGGGGGGAGGGTTTACTGACATCAGCACTGCCGCTCACTACAGCACCGAGCAGGCTGCCTGTCTGCCCGGACCAGCCACGCCATCCATTTATCCTGACGGGCTCCACGGATGTCTGGGCTCGCGCTGCGGGGTTCAGGTTGTGTTGAAGCGGACAGTTCGCGCGCAGAGGCGTCGGTGGAGGACAGCAGCTCGCCCGTGCAGTTTGAGTGGTGAGTTTGCGGCGTTGTTTGCGGGCAGCAGACAGACAGCAGGGCAGACTGGCGCAGGGCAGTTGAGTCGGGCACGCTGTCTGTCTGAAGTTCATATTTGCCTCGTCACGCTTGTTGTAACTGATAGTCTGTGCTGCCGTCTGTCAGACTGCAGTGCTGAAGGATGTTCTCACTGCATTCTCATCATCATATTCTCACATTTCCATCATTTGTATTCACTTACACTGATGCTTTCATCATTACCTGTCCTCATTTTTTCTGTGAGATGCAAAAACACTCTGAGGCCTGAGCTGTATTAGTGTATTCTTGCATTTAGATCCTGATAAGTGGATAAAAGTGTTAACCTTTAACTTCATTTTAAGTTTGCAGGAGCGTCTGCGTCGGGAGGCTGCACAGACAGCGGAGGCGAAGCAGCGGGATTGCATACAGCAGAGTGCACACAGGGGCGCTCGGGATAAGAAGCCAAATTCTGCACTGCAGTGGATTTCCTCAGGTGTGTGTGTGTATGTGTGTGAGTGTGTAGAAGTGTGTGTGTGGGTGTCTGATCGGCAGTGGGCTCTGTACACTTTCTCATTAACATCCGAAGAACCCGCAGAAGCTTTGGGGCATCGTCTGGAGGTCGCCCCGTCCTAGAAAACTGTGCCACCCTTCCAGTTTACAGACCACCGATCCGCCTCCCGCCCCTCCACCTCCTCCTCCTTTTCTCTTCCCATCACAGGGACAGTGTGGTGGTTTGTCTGTCTGTCTGTGTGTCCAGTCGGTTCCCAAAAGCCAGCAGGCCTCAAGATTGGAGATCTGTGGCCGACGGGTGGATTCATACTGTGGATTTTTAAAGACTGCGTGGATATTCAACCAAATCTGCAGTGTTAAGGCAAAGGCAGCGGACTGTTCAGTTTCAGTTTCCATCTTCACTTGGAGGACTTTTATATTTTTATCATTTCCACTGTGTCATCAAAGTCAGCACGACACAGCAAATCTCAGGCGCCATCCCAGGTTTCCCAGGTTTCCCAGGTTTGGGTCGAGTTCCAGTTTCAACTCAGGGGTTTTTAAGTAACAGAGTTCCCGTTTGGTATTTTTCAAGCCGTTGATTTTACTTTGAAGGCAGCAAACCTCAGGCAGCGTCTGTATTTTTGGCTTTAGAATCAACCTATGAACTGCCGTCGCCATGGCTTCTGACAGCTTCCAGTACCGGGCTCTCTTTGAGTACAAGCGGGAGCGTGGGGATGACATCAGCCTCCAGCCGGGGGACCTGCTCACCGTGCCCAAGGCCTCGCTGATGGCCGTGCCGGGCCGGGACTACCAGGACGGGGACGAGCGCAGCCCCAAAGGCTGGCTGCATGGCACCAATGAGAGGACCAAGGAGAAGGGAGACTTTCCAGGGACATTTGTAGAGTACGTCGGGGTGGTGAGGGTCGGCCCTCCTGCAGCTAAATCCTGGCCCAGGCCTGTGCCACCGACCCCTGGGGGGCTACAGAGCGCTGTGGGGGCTCAGCCTCCTGGAGCAGCTGCTTCAGGTGAGTGCTGCCCCGACAGGATCGATCGTGTGGATGTTTGGGTTCACTGTTTGGATCTTTTTGGTGGCTTATCAGTTGGATTGTTATCAACAGGACCATGCTTTTCATTAAAACATTAACGGCACAGAAATCTAACATTTAATCAGTTTTGGCTGTGAAACCTGATGTTGGACTGTTTTGGTGCGAGCTGCTCTCACACAGTATTATGTGTGTGTGTGTGTGGTATCGTATCGAGTTACAGGTTCAGCTGCTGTCAAGCATGTTTGTGTTGTTTGCACAGAAAACATTTGATTTACAGATTATGAACACTTTGTGCTTCAGTAGGTAAAATTTCAGGTTGTTCCTGGTTTGATCTGAGTACAAAATTGCTGTGTAAAATAAACTTGAGTTCTGGGTTGAAGATGTCCAAACAGCTTGAAATAAAAAGTCTTACTGTCCGTTCCGTTGGTGGTTGTATGCGGGCCTATTGGCGTTTTATAGGGCCTTTTCTTGGGGGGCCCCAAAACTGCCTTCTCGATCACCTTTACACTGTTACAAAACCATTACACCGACATTTTAAAAAACATCTTTGAACACACAAGAACACAAGAGTTATCCCAAACACTCAAACCTGTTAGTAGGTGGCGATAAAATCTACGTCAACAATACGTCAAATACAAGAGAAGATAAAGGTGAGCTTATTTTCCTTTGGTAATAGTATCTTAAAAAAAACAGTTGCTTAATATTTATTTATAGTTATTTGACTCGTTTCTTAACCTTTATTTATTTAACACCTCTCTGGCACACGGCCTAGTGTTGCTAACCAAACCAAGCCCGCAGGAAGAGTGCCAGGCTTTGAAGCTAATTTAACATGGAGGCCAAACCTTTCGTTAATCCCCAAAATAATCTCTTTCAGAATTTGATCCATTCGGTCCAAGAAATTTGGAAAGTCTAGAAGAGCCACATGATTAAATCATTTTATCGCCATTCAAGATGGCGGAGGGCTAAACAGGAAGTTAGCGGCTTGGCCAGCAGAAGTCTCTAGTAGGCACCCATATGCAGAGTTATTTTATTCGCCACTGAGCAACATCCATAGGAATGAACAGTGTCTCCAGTGCTGTATCCAGTTCTCCCTTTACATCCATGAACCAAATGTAAACAAACCGGTAGTCCGCCATTGTTCTTGTTGCTCACATGCATGCTCATTACAGAAAGGGCATGCACAGAATGCTCAGTTTTACGTCCACACGGATACAGTTTTGCAAAATCTGCATCTCACAAGGCTTTTTCAGAAATCTCCCTTTTAGTAAAACTGTGTCTGCATGTGGACCAGAGGCCGACACCGTCCTGGGACCTGTTTCAGCAACACAAAGGCTGACATTTGCAAAATGAGATCATTTTCTCCGCTGTTAATTTCACCATGTTCCACTAATCAAAACAAATGCCATACTACCCGCGCATTAGCACGCAAGAACCCTGTAGGATTCATAAATTCACTTGCAACTCACAAACAACATTTGTGAAACGGTACGCTGCCACTATTTGTAACCTGTGTGTAAGCACCTTAAATCATTTTTCTGTAATGGTCCTTCGAGTATGTTGTGCATTTACCCTGAAAATGGCAACATTAAGTGTACTTACAATGCCAGATTACATAAGAGAATTATAACATTTATGAATGCAGTGTACAACAGAAGTGAGGGAGCTCAAAGCAGATAAAATTACCTTCATGGTGTTAATAGTACAACGACCAAACAACCTTTTTAATTACATTTACCTCTCATATGCAAACCACAGACACAGAGCACTGTCAGTACTAGTACACAGTGTACCCCTCATAGTGCCTGCAGGCCTGTTCATCACACTGAGAACCTGCAGCTGTGCCTGATGCTGAGCTGATCTACCCTGATCCTCCAGCTGTGGTCCGGCCAAACCCCTCAATAAAACACCAGCCTTGCATTAAACCTACTAGTATCTCCTTCTCTTCTCTGGGTCAAGGCCATACTGGGTGTGTTAGTCGTCCAAGACATGTCATGTGAAAGCAAGTTGGGTTTGATTATCTCATATTGCAACATATTTAGGTGAACTGCTTCATTCATTGTTAACATGCCCTTGCTGAGGATTTTCTTTAAGGCTTCACTAGGGACTTTGACCTTAAAGGATGATTTCTTTTTATTAAAACTGGAGGCTGTTTTCGCTCTAAAATACGTTTGACTAAATTGCTGTTGATTCAGAGCTGAAACGATTAGTCAGTAGACTATTTTAATAATAATAATCATCATCATTGATACATAATTGTTGAATGCCAAACGTTTCCTACTTGCGGCTAAATTGTTAAGATTTACTGCTTTCTAGTGTTATTGTGTTCCTAGATCACAGATATTAACTTGATGACTTTACTGATAGAAAAGACACATAAAACTTAAAAAAAAGATAAATTAAATGACATTTTATTTGTAGAGCACAAAAGTTATCTCAGGACACTTTTCTAGACCTTTCTCCTTTTATAAAATTATTTACAGAAACCCAACAGTTCCCACCACGAGCAAGCACTTGG